AGAAAAATAATCTGTTTCAAGTTTTATTACAGGCCCGTTACAGACTCAGTGCAGGCTTCTTGTTATCTGTGGAACCAGCTCTGGGAGCCAGTTTAGGCAAGCCTGGTTGAGACTGAGATTGAAAGAGATCTTGGGGTTATAATGGAAAGCTCAATGGCCATGTTGACCCAGTGCGTGGCAGTGGTGAAAAGGGCAAACTCTATGATAGGGAATTAGGAAAGGGACTGGAAATAAAACAGCCAATATTATAATGCCATTGTATAAAGCTATGGGGTGGCTTTTTTGTGAAATATTGCATGCAGTTCTAGTTGTATCTCAAAAGGGATATTGCAGAGTTGGGAAAAGTACAAAGGAGAGCATCCAGGATTACTTGGGGATAGGAACACCTTTTCTAAAAGAAAAGACTTTCAGGACACTGAATTAGATTATTGGGAAATAGGCTCGGGATAGACAAAAATAATTATTTACTCAACTGTGTAATTCACTGCCAATGGAGGCAGGGATAGCCACAAGCATAGATACCTTTAAAAGGAGGTTAGATTCATGGAGGAAAGGTTCATCAGTGGCTACTAGCCATGGTGACAGAAGGGAACCTCCATCTTCAGAGGCAATAAACCTCTGTATACTAGTGCTGGGAGGCAGCAGGATCAGTGGGACCTCAGCCCCTACGGCCTGTTTGTTGGCCACTTTGTGAAGCAGTTTGCTGGACTAATGGGACCACTGATCTGATCCTGCAGACTCTTCTTACATTGATATATTTTTAGGACATACTGTCTGTCTCCTAGTGGCTGCCATTTTTGGAATAATTTCACCCCCTGCCAGTACTACCAGTTAAGGTATTTGTAAGAAATCCAAAACCCACTTTAATCCATCTTTTTCATAGCCCTAAAATGGGAACTCTGGTTAACCACAATGATGGTTAACATTGACACCAACAAACTATTTAAGTACAGTTAGCGGGACTTCTTTAAAAAAGGAGATTGGCTCTATAGTTTATATTGTCCTCTGGCTGTGAAACTACCTGCTAAACAGTTTTTGCCTGGCATTGTCCTTTCATCATTAGGTACCATGCAGTATCTTCTGTGCGGAGAGCTGCTGCACCTCACCTCCATCCCCCTGTACCATAAAGCAGTTAGGTACCACTGAATGCTGCCCAGCACCAAAGGCCTCCCTCCCCATGCTTTCCCTGGCCACACAGTCAATAAGCAGCTGGCTTAGGCAAGCTCCCTTCGTCACTAGATGTCTCAAAGTGCTCGCAATGTTTTCCTGCCCATCTCACTTTTAAAAAATTACATTTATTTTAAAATTATGTTATTGGCTTGGTACCATCAATACACAAAGGGAAGCATAAAAACATCTCATGGGTTCTTCTCTGTATATACCAGTGGCCAGAAATATATTATTTATTTATTTAAATTTCTAGCCCATACATCCCTGCACTGCAGGGCTCAGGGCAGATTACAACAGTAGAGATATACAATAAATTTAAAACAATTAAAACAGTCTACTCAATATTAAAACCTACACAACATTGATTAATACAGCTTACAGATGGCAATAAGATACAAGTTAACAAGTGCTCCCCCAAAAACTTTCAGTATGTGTCCATAGATGAATAACCAGATATTGGGCAAGTGGCAGAAAAGCAGCAACAGTAGCACTGAATAAATAGCGCAAGGTCAGATAGGAGAGGCCAGTGTAGTTAGATCTCTGCTACCTCAACCATAGGTCTGGCGGAACATCTCCATTTTACAGGCCCTGTGGAATTGTAATAAGTCCCACAGTGCCCTGATCTCACTTGTGAGACTTTTCTACCAGGCTGGGGCCAGAGCTGAAAAGGCTCTGGTCAAGGCTAAGCAGCTCTCCTTTGGGATGGGGACCACCAGCAGACGTTGATCTGTGAAGCACAAAGCTCTTTGAAGGACATAAGTGGAGAGACAGTCCTGCACAGAGGTCATTTCGGGGGGGAACGCGGGGGAACGAAGTTCCCCCGGGTGAGGTGCAGGGGGGCGGGGCACATGACGAAGCCCCGCCCCCTGCTTCCGGCTGCCCCGCTTCCAGCCCTCTTTCACCAGCCATGATGGACACAGGTCAAGGAGGCAAGTGGTGGGCTTCACAGCTGCCAGGGTACTGTCAACCTCATCCTGGAAGAGTCAGCTTAAATGTCCATGATTGGGCCCAAAGACGGCCAAGGCGTCTCCAGTTCACATACTGTATCAATAGAGGCTGGCAGGTCTTGGCAGAGTGACAAGATTTTATCCACAAAAATCTCACACCTAATTGTCAATTTGCTATCTTTTTTATTTCCCTGTGAAAGGGAAGTGAGCGAGCTAATTATTCTAAATAATTGAGCAGGTGAAGAGCTTGTGGACACAATGGAAGTCATGTAGAATTCCTTCTTTTTTAATATGTGCATGTGTGCGTGTGCATAAGAGTGTGTGTGTACCTCTGGTGACTGACCCCTAAGGGGGGCCTGGAGGATATTCAGAGAGGTGGCTGAATAAAGCCTGCTCCTGCCTCCCACCTCTGGTATTTCAAGGCAGTCTCCCATCCAAGTAGTTGCCAGAATCAACCCTGCTTAGTTTCCGAGATCTGACAAAATCAGGTAGAATTCCTTCTTCACTGCTTTCACTACCACATAATATATTTTCATAAACATCCTATGATATGTTCTTGTAGCTTCATCCCAAGTTCACTGCCACACTCACTCTAGCTATCTTAGCTCACCTTTCATCCTCTGTAGCTCCGTGGTGTACCAAGGGGCTTATTTCGAATGGGAGCGAAGAGGGCGGGGAGCAATTTTGTCAGTGGCCATCAGGGAGTGATTTTGTCAATATTGTACAATATCTTGAACAAGTGGAAGATACAATAAGTTTGGATACAGCAAGTTTGTATCAAACAAGTGGGGATACAGTAAGTTTGACTTCGTAAAAGTGGCGATTGCAGTTTATTTCATGTGTTTCCAGTAGTTCAAGAGCTACACTGCAAGCAGAAATTGTGTTTTGGATCCAGTCCACTCTTTGCCTATTGTTTATATTTTAATTATAGTAGAAAGATGGGTTACAGTTTTTTTAAATATATCTTAAATGCTTATTTAAAAGTGGAGAGCTGCAAAGGCTGTCCGTGCAAACAATGTCTGCGATAGTTTCCTATACAAGATTATTTTTGAAAATTACAAATTATGTGCTGTGAACCAGTTAGTGTAGAAAGATTGTCAACACATGGTTTTGAATGTTAGAAATGGTTATAGGAGTTCAAAATTTTCTTTGGAGCAATCAAGGAATGTAGTTTTGTATTTCTAAATGCTCTCGTAAAAGTTCTTGGGTGACCTTAGAAAGAGGATATCAGCCCTTTGTCTATGAACTGAATGCTTATGAAGTCAATCAAATTTTACTAATATGCAGATGTGTTTCAGGGTCAGGCCCACAGGACTTAGAAGATTTGGCTACAGATGCCAAAACTGTAATTAAATTGTGATGAGAAAAACCATGTCTTCTCTATTACAATAAAAACTGATACTGCAATAAAAGCCGAGAGTTGTTCTGAGAGTTCTACAGGCATAAGGAAAGTTTGCATAAGTGAGCATGTCAGACTTGATAATGTTGTTTGATCATTACCACAGATAGTTGGTTAGCGGATTCTGTTTTGTGATTTTTAAAATATAAATTCTAGTCTTTTGGAAGTTATAAGAGACGATACTTGTGGGGTTTTAAATGGTGTTAGCAAATTTACCACAATGGGTAAGCCTTTCAGCTTACTGTTCTTTTGCCTAAAAGTATGTGTTGTTATTTTTAAAAATGGAATCAAATGAAGTAATACCTGATTGCGTGCAAAATGTGCATTGTCACTACATTTAGAATGACTTGCCTAGTTTCCAGGGCTGGATTAAGACTTTCTGAAGCCCTAAACCATGCCAAGATTAAGAGATTCCATGGCATTACCAAAAAGCAATTTAATGATGCTTAGTACATGTTTTGTATTTAGAGAACCTAAATTGTGACTTACTAAGCTTGTGCGTAAACCCTGGCTCTGCCAGTTTCATTGTGATGCTTTCTTAATGCCAACAGTACAGTATTAACTTTTTTCTAGTTTGAAAAGTTAGGCATTCAGGGGTTAATTATTGGATATATTTGCTGCACAATTAGTTTTTGTAACCTATAGATTTAATGTACATTTGCTGTTAATGCTGTTTGTTGGTCACTGTCAAACTTTTTCTATTAGCTACTATGTTGCACTGAATTTAAAGAACTGCGAAGAGAAGGAAAACGGCCAATAGCAAAAGGGCTCATACAGTATTTGTTTAACAAAATTTATTTATATTCCCCCCCTTTCTGCCCTCATAAGGGTCACCACATCATAAAATCACATCTCCACACCATTACTCCCCTAACACAGATCATTAAAAGAATTAAAATCAAAGCTAAAATACATACAAACACATACCAAGTAAAACATTGGTCATGAAGGAGGAATCACCAAGGGAAAGTCGAACAAAACAAAAAAGTCTTCATCAGCTGGTGGAAAATGGCAACAGAAGGGGACAGACAAATTTCCCTGGAAAGAAAGTTCCAGAGCTTTGGTGCCATTACCAAGAAGGTCCTCTCCTGGCTTGTCACTTGCCTAATTTCAGAAGGCCGAGACATTTGATGCAGGGCCTCTGAAGATGACCGTAGTGGTCAGATAGATGGCATATATTGTGGTTCTGATGGTTCTGCTAGTCCAATCTCTTGTGCAAAAGAAATAATATCTTTGGATTTTTTCCATACAGTTCTCTAATGTATGTAAAACAGCATTTCCATGAATAGTTAGTGGTGGAAAAGGCATCCTCATTATTTTGGTTTGATCTAAAAACCTGTGAAAGCACACCAGGTACCACAAGTAAGGTTGAGAATTGCTGCAGTAGTCTTAGGATGTGGGTGTCATAAATCTATTCAATTTCATGTGAATGCTGTTCTTTCCAGTCTACAGTAGTACTGACATTGAAATGTTGTCCATTATAGAACTCACCCCTGAAGAAAAAGCCCAGAAGATTGCTAAAGCTATGCGTAAGCAGTCTGTGGAAGTGAAAGAGAAATGGGAAAGCCTGAATACCTGTGCCAACAGCTGGCAGAAACAAGTAGACAAAGCACTAGAGAAGCTGAAAGACTTGCAGTGTTCTATGGATGACGTAGATGCTGATTTGAGAGAGGCAGAGAATGCACGGAATGGCTTGAAACCCGTTGGAGAGATACTAATCGACTCATTGCAGGAACACATTGATAAAACAACAGTAAGCACAAAGCTCCTTTTGAGTGTAACATATGTTGAACTATGGCCTTTGTGGAATATTAAGCTGTGCTTAAGTTTGAGGAAGGTGCTTATAATCTGTGGCCTGGTATTCCTGTGACAAGCATAGGTTATGAAAAACAATATTTGCAGATTTCCTCATTTCTTATGTTTCATCTTGAGAAATCTTACAGAATTATTGTAGTGGCAGTATGGTCACAGGAATATGACAAAACAACATGGGGGTAGATAGTGAATGCAGGAAGGCTAGCATCACTAGTGAGAGGCTATGCAGCACAAAGGATTGGTTTTCTGAACGCCTAGAGCTGTTAGCAAATAGTGATAACCAACAGGAATAGCTGCAGAACTTACGTGCTGCTGGAAAATGACCATTTAATGGATTTAATCAAATTGAATAACTTGTTGCATACTTGTTATCCTGTTCTGATTCCATTTTGGAAATGGAATTCTAAGTGCAGCAATAATCTTTCAAAGTCTAGTGTCTTTGTAGTTGTGAAACAAAATAACTGTGTCTGGAGTCATACCTCCTGTCCCCCACACTTACTTCCGAGGAGATAGAGACTGTGCCAAAGGGAGAACCAGAGAAGCCCTGTGTGATGCCGCAGGAGCAGCTTCCCAGTTCATCACAATGCCCAAAGATGCCAGACTGGCCAGGGCCGTCCATCAGCCATCCCCCCAAGGGCCGTAGCAGAGGGACATGGTGACGAGGGTGGAAGAGGAGCAGCAGAACCCGCCACAAGCGCTGGCCTGTTCCTCATCTTTTGTGGGAGCCAGGAAGGCTTCGGTGGAGCAGGAAACAGGCTGCAGTGACCTCCTTAGGCCAGCAGGGACTAGAAGTGAAGCCCTGTTGAGGCTTCCCATGGGGGAGGGGCAGGAAAAATGGGATCCCAGGCAGTGTTCCCTCTAAGCTGAGTTCGTGTGAGCTAGCTCATAGTTTTTTAGCCTCCAGCTCACACATTCTCGTCTTAGCTCAGGAAGGATGACTCCAGAGCAAACTACTTTATGCAGTAGCCAAATTGTTTGCTCACAACTGTAATGCCAGGTAGCTCACAAAGTAGAATATTTGCTCACAAGACTCCACAGCTCAGAGGGAGCATTGATCCCAGGTAGGCTGCTGCTCACCGGGCCTTTGGACCCACCACTCCTATAGACCTGTCCCCCTGGATACATGGAATGGGTGAGGCCAGAGTTGTCCCACCCCCAGGCAGTCTTTTAAAAAGTGCACCTTGGAGAACCAGGGAGGAAGGGCCAGACCTCACCTAAGACAACTAGGGAGAGGTTACTGGCAGGAGTGAGAGAGGGAAGAGGGTGCTGTAACATCCCCCTCCTCACTCTTTTCTTAGGTTCTTCCCTCAAGGCAAGCATGATTTAAGGAACCCTGGAGAAGGAGACAGCCCTGAACTCCAGCCCAGTGCCAGAGCCTGACATCCTATTAAAAGTATTTGATTAAACTCGCAACGTCTTCCTCCATTTGAGGCTATGCTTTTCTGTTTTGCACTACTCCAAACCTGAGAACTGTGAAAATCTGTAAGGCAGAGAATGGGAACACAATTCTGAAGTCACTGGATATTTTAGCAGTGGACTATACAGAGCTACAGGCTTATTGTCCATCAACTCATGGATGTTAATAATAAATTGGACTGTTGCAGGGTAATGTAGCATCACACAAAAATGCAAGACAACCTTCTTATGTTTCACTCTTGCTTTCACATATCGAGTAAACTGAGCTCAGTCAATTTTGATTTATATCCTTACAGATTTTGGTCAAACTTGATTTATATCTTTGTCACTATTGATATAAAGAGATATATCCTCTCTTCCCCCTTTCTCATTTTAATACAAACATAAAAGCTTTTGTAAGTTGTTGAGAATGCTTCTTTCTGTCTTGAAGAAGTGATTTGTAGTATCTTAATGACATTTGTTTAAAGGAAGGTAGAAAGGAGCTTATTCAGTTTTTAGTGTATGGAAAACAGCAGCATCTTTAGAAGATTATGAGGGTCTGTTAGCAAACAAAAAGCTAAATGAATGTTGGAATTGAATGACCAGAAACTGCAACTGGGATGGGGGAAGAGTGCTGAGAAATCTGTTGATTGCCTGGAAATACAACAAAGTGACAAGTGCTTTTCTTGTTTCATCCTAATTTTCATGGTTTACAGATACATTGTGCACTTCCCGAGGCATGCTAGGAAAGGCCTTGAATATATCTTGAGCGTCAATGCATTCTAACACTTATTGCTGAGTCTCAAGAACTTTTAAATGCTCTTGTCTGATTATCTTTCTAATTTTATTACCGTTTCATTGTTTCCCAGTAAACCTTGGGGATTTCAGACATTCTTCCTCATACCCCATCCTAGCAAATTCACTACATTTTTGGTGTTTACTGTAACACATAAAGCATCTGAGGGAGGTCAGTGGATGAGAACCATCACACAGAGAAAATAAATGAGTGTGCTTTATATATGTGATTTGTGTGAAATGAGGCTGCTCTTTAAGTTGTTTCATTAAATATAGGTGTATGTTTACTCTTCTAGGCTTTTAGGGAAGAAATTGCACCAATCAACGTGAAAGTTAAAGCAGTAAATGATTTATCTAGTCAACTCTCTCCGCTTGACCTTCATCCATCATTAAAGATATCGCGACAGCTAGATGACCTCAATATGCGCTGGAAACTTTTACAGGTATTCTCTTCTTGTCTTCAGTAAATTAGGAAACTGGTATAGACAGTGTAATTTCTTTCTTTTTCCTATTATCATTATTTCTTGTCTGTTTTAAAAGCAACATGCAATGCAGACATCCTTCTCCCTTTCTCTTTTGATTGATAACCTGCATTTTCTGCTATCTTCTGCAGCTGAGTTCACACAGGGGGACAGAATTAACCTCCAAAGACACATGTACATGTTTTGCATCAATATAATACCAATATTTGTATCAATTTGTATATTTCAGAATATTCTCCATAAATCAAAGTTATTAACATCTTTTGTATGTCAGCAATATGTTTTCTATTGTCCCGTCCTGACAAATCTTTTGTTTTTACTTGTAACATAGGTTATCATGTAGTATTACTGAGGCTTTTTAAATGCATGTATGATTACTCACTGGAACTAGTAAGAAAAAAGAGTTTGCAAAAACCAGGGAACTTGAACTCCAATAATAAGTAATATCTAGCTAAGTAACATCAGCCTCAGTTTATCCTCCAACAACCTTGTATGGTAGGTTTAGCTGAGAGTGACTCACCCGAGCTTCATGGCAGAGGCAGCATTGGAACCCATACCTCCCAGATCTAAGTGAAACACAGCAGCCTCTGCAGCATACTAGTCAGGTTCTAATTGGGGCAGAGGCTGTGGCAGCCATCCCTAGAAGTCCCACCCATCTTTCAGGGCCCTGAACCAGTCCTTGTGATTTTGGCTTCATGCAAATCTAAGTGATTGTCAGCCAATCAGAGACCATGGGACTCCTTTAGATGCGATGAGTTAAGCCAGCCTCAGTTTAAGAAAGGACGAGAAAACATTTTCCCTCAAAAGGGAATTTTGGTGGCTCTGGATGATAGTGTCATCTTAAGCAGGTTTTTATTTGGTTTTTAGTTATGATTTGGGGTTGGTTTAGGGAAGAGAGTTTGTTTTAGTGAAACAAATAAGCATCCTGTTAAAGATCTATTCAGGTGAGTGGCCATGTTGGTATGAAGCAGGAGAACAAAAGTTTGAGTCCAGCGGCACCTTTAAGACCAACAAAGTGGAATTCAGGGTATAAGCTTTCGTGTGCAAGCACACTTCTTCAGGTCTAACATTCCTAATTTACATGTACAGGTTATGTGGACAGTAGTTCTCTGTGTTAAAAGAGCAACTTTGAATCTGGAGAGGATCCTGTCTGTTAGGAACTAGGTTCTAGTTAAACTTAGTAAGCTAAGGTAACCTGTCTGGATAAAGAGGAATCAAATCTCCCCTCAGGGTTTATTTGTGTTAAGTGAGGCTCAACTACAAAGTGGTTACTTTCATTGAAGACTTATGGGGGTGAAGTTGAGAGCCAGTTTCACATTATATATTGAAGCCATTCACATAAAGCATTTGCTCTGTTATATACTTTATTTTCTGTTAAATAAACCTTTGTTGTTGATCTCCATTTGTGTCTTGTCTGTCTAGTCAAATATCTAGCAAAAACTGATTTTATTTACATTACAAAAAATTATAGCCTTGGTCTAGCCAGTTTCCAAATAAGAGACCTTTAAGTAGCACACATTCTACTAAGCCTTTAATCAAAGCTTGTATCCTGTCTGTCTAGTCAAATATCTAGTCAAATATCTAGCAAAAATGATTTTATTTACGTTACAAAAAATTATAGCCTTGGTCTAGACAGTTTCCAAATAAGAGACCTTAAAGTAGCACACATTCTACTGAGTCTTTAATCAAAGCTTGTATCCCACTTTTTACCTGATTATGGCAGTTGGGTTTAAAGAATATACTGTGATCACACACACTAAATAATCCACTTTCAATCCACTTTCCAATTGGATTTTACTGTGTGAACTGGCAAAATCCAGTTGGAAAGTGCACTGTTAGCTGTCTGAAAGTGGATTATTTCATGTGTGTGATCACAGCCAGAGGAGGTGCCAGAACAGGGGACGGGACATTCTTCAGTCCAGTGTGCAGTTTCATCAGAGTCCTCCCTCTCTAGGTCAAACACACCAGCCACTAGCTCAGGTTCTAAATGGGCAGAAGCCTTTCCAGAATGCAGTTGAAACTGCTGCATTCTTACAAGTTCTTGACCTGTTCCAGTAATTACATTAAGATGGTGAAGTACTTCTTAGAGACATTCCCAGGAGAACCTAAGATTTTTTCACATTCCCATGGCCTTCTCATGCCACAAAACAGTGATGTTACCATCCTCTTGCTATACCGGAGACCGTGCATTCAAAGCTTAATGTGTTTTGAAAGTGTCTAGCACAATCTTATTTCTTCTGCAGAGCACTGTAAGAGGCAATACAATGTGGACTGGAGAGCTGTCTGTTTAGAATTTCACTAGTCATTCCAAAATGTGTGTGAAGATTAATAGGTTCATGAAAAATGTTCCAAATGTCCAGACTAAGAGGTTTGATAGATCCTTAGTGCCTGTATGATCAGGAATTGGTCTAGAAAAGCTTTAAATTGAAATTTTATAATGAAAATCTCACTCTGGCCCAAAGTTTTATTTATCTCTGTCCAGATAATTTTTTAAAAAAATTCTTTTTCTGAATCAAAACCTTTTATTTATTTTTTTGCTTCAAAAGGAAAAATTCAGGAGTGTGAAATGTTTGAAAGTGGGGGGGAAATGTTCCTTTATCTTTTGACATCTGCAGCCTGCAGAGTTAAGATGTAGTCTGCTGAGAAACAGGGTGTCCTGCAAGGCAAAATTATTAACGTTTCTGAGGCTTCTTGTCTGTATTTCTTGCAATGTAATTTTGTTTTTGGAATGCTTTTTATGCCTTAAGGAGGTTTGACTAAGCAGTTAGGCTCCTGCTGGATGTGCCAGTACAGTTTAATTAGTAAACCAGGAGGATATCTGCCTATCTTGACAACCAGCAAACAGCATGCTCCAAAGTGGTTCCTTGTAATGGTATCTGTGAGATCAATACAATCAAAACGAGACCTGCTGATTCCAGACATTTGGATAAGGGAAGAGGGGAGAGAAGCAGAAATTTCAATGGACATTGTTAGTCACTGTAAAAACCATTTTTGTTATTGATTTGTATTGCTTGCAGGGTGGATATTATTAGCTTATATTTAAACATTTAAAAATTAGAGAGCAGATATAAATTGTACACAGAAAATATCTCTGATATACCTAAAGGCCAATTGCTAAAGGTGGTTATAAGTAATTATCCATCAGGATGGGAGCTTTGCATGATCAGCTGAAAATATTTTTGCCTTTATGTTTGTAAATACAGGTATCTGTAGAGGATCGCCTTAAACAACTACAGGAAGCACACTGGGACTGTGGCCCTTCTTCTCAAAATTTTCTTTCCAGTAAGTGTTAGATACTGTTTATAATATGATTTTGAGAGACTGTTTGAGAGAGGACCCAATTGCAGATAACAGCGGTATTTAATAGGATAAAATGTTATTTTCTGTGTTTACCTGAGTAGGAAATGTCTGCTTACACATGTACCACTTTCAGAAAGTAATGACTGATTATCACATTCCTAGGTAGATATAATGCACCTTTGTACTGGAGTGGGGGGAGGGTTTTTTTTTAATTTCACAGCCAAGAAAACATGCCCATTGCAGTGTAATGACACTTCCTTCCAAGTATCTGTGCAAAGGGAATGTTGAATCTGCAATCTGGGAATGCTCAGACACTAATGTATAACTGCAATCTCTGGTAATTAGCAGTTTGTAGCACAACTTTACTTCCATAACTTCTAGTGTGTAAAGGCAGCAGGGTGTTAGTTCCAGTGTGTCTATGAAGTTAGCCAAAAGAGAAAAAGAGAGGGCGGGCTAAAAATCTAATAAAAAAATAAATAGTTTGCTTAACAAGTAACCAAAGATATCTCATATGGCAATCGTTTCTTTTTCTGAAATTTGTGTTATATGGTCAGTCTCTTTAGCAACATATAAAATCTAACTTGGGTCATATAGAAGAAGAAGAAGAGATTGGATTTATACCCTGCCCTTCATTACCCGAAGGAGTCTCAGAGCTGCTTACAAACTCCTTTCCCTTCCTCTCCCCACAACAGACACCCTGTGAGGTAGGCGGGGCTGAGAGAGCTCTGACAGAAACTGCTCTTTTTCAAGGACAGCTGTACCAGAACTATGGCTTGCCCAAGGTCATTCAGCAGGTACAAGTGGAGGAGTGGGGAATCAAACCCAGTTCTCCCAGATTAGAGTCTGTGCACTTAACCACTACACCAAGATACAAAGAGAAAGTGGAGAAATGTCTACTTGGGTGTAAGTAACAAGTGCGATTCTCCCTGCACTGATGGTGGTATGGAGGAGGAAGGTGAAGTAATTATGACTCTCTTAACATATCAGAGTCTAGTTGTGGGATGACATTAATGGGGTTTGCCACCTCTTTGTGGTCCAGCTGGGCAATGGGCAGGTTATCCTGCTAGCTAAGTGCAACTACACTGTCCTCCCTTGTGCAGTATGACAAGGTTTTTCGTTGTTAAAGGGATAAATAGTCCTGGCATCTGGGAGAATGCTTTGATTACGCGTTGCCTGGGGCCTCTGTACACACAATGGTGGTTCCTGCAGCCCTTAGAAGGCCATTCATCAGCCAGTGCAGATTGACTGATGTAGGATTAACCTACTATGGGGGATATGGTGGTTTCTAGCCTTGGTCTGTTCAGTGAGTTTTACCAGATTTGACTCCTCCCATAAAGGTGACTTGGTAGTGGTGACAGTGTCCCCAGGCCCAAGCCACTTTTTAAGAATATTGTTTTGTCATCTGTTACGGTTTGTTCTTGGCCTTCCTCTCCTGTTTTTCTTCCTAGACCTGTTTCAGAAGGTACAGTTTTTTCAAGTGAAAAGTGAATTTCCCAAGTCAATTGCTAAATGATCAGGTGTTCTTTTGGTTGATGACTGGTCCCTCTGTTGCTGATGTTAATCAGTAATGCTCCATGGCATTAGTGGAAGTGGGTGTTTACCACTAGGTTAAAGGCAATGTGTCTCCCTGTGGTTCGTTGTTAGATACCACCAGATTACTGTCTGATGCTGCATTAATCTGCAATAGGTATGTGCAGGGGTCATTTCGTAGAAAAACAGGTGCAGGAGCTCATTTGCATATGCCACACACCCTGACATAGGGCAGGCATGCAAGCATGCTTGGGTTCCCTGCCCGATCTTCTCCAGGTGCCCCGCAGCTGTGGGGCACCTGAAGAAGATCGGGCAGGGAACCCAGGCATGTTTAAAATGCCTTTCTTTCCCTTCCCCATCTGAGGAAGGGAAAGAAAGGCATTTAAATCCCCCCCACTTCCCCGAGTTTCTCCGTAAAAGCGGAGAGGCTCGGGGGAAAGGGGGGCATGTCTGCCTGCCTCCCCTTCCCCTCCCCAGCCAACCCGCCATGGTGGGCTGGTTGGAGAAGGGAAGGGAAGAGCAGGGAGGCAGACATGCCTGGGTTCCCTGCCGTGGGGCACCTGGAGAAGATCGGGCAGGGAACCCAGACATGTTTAAAATGCCTTTCTTTCCCTTCCCTGTATGGGAAAGTCTGTACTGTCTGTTGTTATAAGTATGATCCTGCGATGTAATTTCTGCACTATACTTTTAGATGTGTCGTATTAGTTCTTATTCTTTGTTTCAGCTTGGCTTCAGCTCTGTTTTCAGATTTCTGCTCATTTTCAGATTTCTGCAATCCAAACCTCTATTGCATGGTTTATTGGCTGTCCCATGCCTGTTGATTTAAATGCTCTCATGTAATTGCTATGTAATCTGCCTTGAGTCACAGTGAGAAAGGTAGACTATAAGTGACAAATAAATACATTAAAAGCCTATGACAGCTCATAATGATTACATCTGTCATGCATAATCTATTCTGATGAGACTGAATTTCCTGAATTTGGGTTGTGGCTTTTTATTTAGTTTTTATCATGTTTTGCCTTTAGGAGCTGGTTTTACAGAGCTGACCATACTTTATATGTTTTTTTAAGTCCTTGGATGCCAGCCAGCCTTTGCTGAAGAATAGAAATTCATGTTCTTGTTCCTTATCTCTATCTGTCATATCCCATTTGGCACTAAGACTGTATTTTTTCTTTGTGTTGGGTTGTCTTGCTTTTTCCCATGCAGTCCACTGAGCTCATCCTTGGAAGAGCCTTGGTTTGAACAAGGATTGCATGAACCTCTGATTTTCAGGGAATTCAGAACCTCTTATGATACCACAGCAGAGGAGAAACCACTCTTCTGTGACATTGTCTAAGATTATTAGATCATGATTGTCTGTCAGCTAAGACCATATTTGTCTGTCAGCTAGTTCAGTCTGCATCGGCAGCTAAACTTGTTACCAGAGGGTTTTGGCAGGGAAGCAAGAGCATGCTACTTGCCTTCCCTTGACCAACCAAACTCTTTTCTCTAGTGAGTCAAGAGCTAACATCAGCATACAGTTCCTTAACCGCTAGCCTTAAGTCTGCAATAGCAGTGTGAGAAAAAAGTGTCGGTATTTTTTGGCTTTGGGTATATCAACCCCCCCCCCTCCCAAATCGGTAAATGCTAAATATCCCCAGTCCAATACCAGTAAAGTATAAAGACTGGGAAAATAATCTGAATTACTGAATATATATTCTTGTCTGATATACACAAAAGGAGGGAAGGGAGGCATGTGGAAATGCTTTCTTTCCCTCTGGAAGCCCCTGCAGCTTTCCTTCTCAGTTGCACTCCCCACCAGTCAACTGTTAGGTTTAAGCCAGTTAAACCTAACAGCAGAGAGGCCAGGGGAGTGAAACTGACAAGGGAAAGACTCCTCTCTCTGCCTTCCCTTCTCTAGCTGACCCGGGGTAGCTGGAGAAGGGCAGGCAGGGAACTCAGGCATGTTTCCAAGCCTGCCCTTCACTTCCCCAGCCAACCCACCATGGCAGGGAGGTTGGGGAAGCAAAGGGCAGGCATGGAAACATGCCTGGGTTCCCTGCCTGCCGTTTTCCAGTTGCCCCACAGCTGCAGGGCCCCTGAAGAAGGGTAGGCAGAGGAACCCAAGATCAGGGAGGGAAAGAAAGGCATTTAAACATGCATTCTCGTTTTTTCCATCTTCCCTCCCTGAGTTTCTCTGCAGCAGCGGAGAGTCTCAGGGAGGGAAGGAGGCTTGTTTCTATGCCTTTCCTTGGCTTCCCCAGCCGACCCCCTTCAGCAGCCTGATGAGGAAGCCAAGGTCAGGCACGGACGCATGCCTGGGTTCCTCTGGGGCAGCTGGAGAAGGGAAGGTAGAGAGAGGAGGCTTTTCCTGGTCAATTTCACTCCCACAATTTCACTCCCTCAGCTGACTGGCTGGGAGTGAAATTGACTAGGGAAGCCGCAGGGGGAGGGGAAGTCACCATTCAGCTACCCCAAAACCGAAATAGCCGAATAAATTCAAGAAACGGTATTCAGTAGACAAAAAGTTCCCTGAATTGAAGTCGGCATTCGGCTACCCCAAAGCTGAAATAGCCAAATAAATTCGAAAAACAGTATTCAGTAGACAAAAAGTTCCCTGAATTTGCATTTGGCTTTAGGAATACCGATAAATACCAATAAGGTATTTATTCTGTATTTCTTTTGGTTCAGGGAAGCCAAATGCACATCCCTAGTCTGCAGTGCACCAGATCCATGTTTAGAGTGCTGCTGTAACACATTAGCAACACATATTGTTCTGGATGACTCTCTGGTCAGGCCTGATTCAGATATAGATGTGCACTTAAGATACCCTAGTCATCTAGTTAGCATTCTTGTACCAGATCATTTAAGTCCTAGCCAGAGATTCACATAAGTATTGCTATAGGTTTGTTCTGGGTATTGTACACAAATACACACTGTTAGAGAGTCTCTGCTTCCATTCTAAGGTTCTGTACCAGATCATTTAAGTCCAAGCCAGAGATTCACATCAGTATGCTATAGGTTTGTTCTGTGTATTGCACACAAATACACAGTATTAGAGAGTCTCTGCTTCCATTCTAAGGTTTTTTAAAATTAAAGCGTATTTATTGCATTCTTAACATAGATCACACCCCAAAGTATTATACCATCCATCATTGTTACATAGATAATTCAAGGAGAGCAATTACATGAATCTATAAAAGTTTCTTACCCCCAAAGTAAGTAGGTCATAGGCAAGGAACCCCTCCAGAGAAGAAGCTTTTGATCAATACAACTTCCTATATTTATAGGATTTTTAAAATAATCTCCTGACAATAGCTAACTGTCCCACGTGATAGGGGCACACATTCATGATAAGGGCAAACATTCTTGATAAGGGCAGATATTCTCATAACTTCAAACACCAACAAGGCTATGTATACTTAAAATGTCCTCTTGGAATATATATAAAATGTTAGTTCATTCTGGCTACTTTTTATCTATACAAAGTCTCTTAAAATAGTGATTACAGGTTTCTCATACATATGAATATCGTTTGGCCCTCAAGCAATGTTCCCATTCTTGAAACTTATTTTCACCTCTGTGAAGATGGAGACCCTTGCGATCCTCAGATGCTTCTGCACCTGGGCCTCCACAAACTGCATCTATTGATAGTGGGTTACAGAGTTTCTGATACATACAAGGCCATACAATTATGTTACCCCTTTTTGTTCTACTTACTACTCTTCATGGCAGTAAGAATTCTGGGTCTCTAGACTCCATTCTTGGCATGTTTTCCTGAGAGGCCAGGTTTGTTCAGTTTTACGTGTGCCAAAACATCTTCTATTATCTTTTTGGTCGTCCAGCAACTGCAACCCTGTATTTCTGACCATATCTGTAACAACATCTTAAAGTTAGGTTAAGCAGACAAGACTGGTATTGGTGGAAGATTGGAGATTATGCCTATTGGGTTTTTGACTTTTTCGCTGCTTGCGTACATCGACCTACAACTGAGTCTATTCTTGAAGCAAAACTATACTGTCTTTGTCAGTTTCATAATTATGTTCTTTCTTTGTTTCTACAGCCTCTGTGGAGCTACCATGGCAGAGATCAGTTTCACATAACAAGGTTCCTTACTACATCAAGTAAGCTGGCCTTTATTGTTGCTATAATTGTATTTGAGAAAAGTGCGGTGTTTTAGTTCCATTAATTCTCAGCTGCCTCTCCTCATGCTATCAAGCAGAAAGCTGCTATAGTTAGTCTCTCTAGTTAAATTTGTATATACATTTTGATGGGATTTGTCTTTTGTTCAATGCAAGTACTTATGGTAAATAGAAAAACAATTCCTCAGCTGCAGTCCTTTGTCTCACAGATATTTACATTAAGCACATAGTCATATCTGAAGTTCCACTGTTAATAATGCCACTTGTGCATTAAATTAGAAATATAGTGATAAGATATGCTGGAAAAAAGACCTGAATCATAAAAGCAAACTTCCAGGATAATAAGGCACTAGTAACAGCTTTAGAAGCTTACATAAAAGTAAGAATGGGGTATGCAGACAGTGTTTTCCTGTTTGGGATTTGAGGCACAAGAGACTGTCAAAATCCCTTGTGGCATTGTGACTGCAGCAACGTGGGCCTCCATAGATAAGGAGGTATCCAGTGCTACTCCCAGGCTCTTCATCAACTGGGCCAGCACCAGAGGTGTCCCTTCCAGTGTGGGAAGCCTGGTGCCCACCTCCAATCCCCCATGACCCAGGTACAGGACCTCCATCTTCAATGGATTTAACTTGAATCAACTCTGCCATAACCATCTAGCCACAGCATCCAAAGCCTCAGCCAGATTTCCAGGAACGGAGGATGGATGACCGTCTATTAACAGATAAAGCTGAGTGTCATCAGCATACTGATGGCAGCGCAGCCCATAACTCCGGACCAACTGGGCGAGGGGGCGCATATAGATGTTGAATAGCATTGGCAAGAGGATCACCCCCTGCGGCACTCCACATTCTAGTGGGTACTGCGGGAAGACCCTCTCACCCAGCGCCACCCTCTGTCCCCAACCATGGAGAAAGGAGGAAAACCATTTCAAGGCAGTACCCTGGTCTCCTGTGTTGGCGAGGCGGTGGGTCATAAGATCGTAATCGACCGTATCAAATGCTGCCATTAAATCTAATAACAGCAGCGCTGACCCGCCTTGATCCAGTTGTCTACGGAAGTCATCTGTAAGGGTGACCATGGCCGTCTCCGTCCCATGGCCAGGGCGTAAGCCAGACTGGAAAGGATCAAGGATGGTGGCCATCTCTGTCCCATGGCCAGAGCGGAAGCTGGACTGGAAAGGATTAAGGATGGACGCATCATCCAGGAAGGCCTGGAGTTGTTCAGCCACCACTCTCTCAACCACCTTATCCAGGAACGGATAGACACTGGGTGGTAGTTGGTCAGGACTGTTGGGTCCAATTATGGCTTTTTCAAGAGTGGGTGAACTACCGCCTCCTTTAAAGCCTCTGGAAAAGTCCCAGTAGATAGGGATAAGTTGGTGATTTCTTCCAGAGGGGCCCAAATGCTCTCCCCGCAAGATTTCAATAGCCAGGAAGGGCATGGGTCAAGAAGGCAAGTAGTAGGCCTCACAGCTGCCAGGGTCCTGTCAACTTCCTCCCGGGTGAGTTGATTGAAGTGGTCCAATAGCAGACCAGAAGATGGACAAGGGGCTTCCAGTTCCTTTACTGTCTCAATTGTGGCCGGGAGGTCCTGGCAGAGTGCTACGATCTTATCTGCGAAATAGCTCGCAAATGCCTCACAGCTGATAGCAAATTTCTTACTATTTGGTCAGCCCTGAGGCAGAGTTGTAATGGACTGAATAACTCTAAATAATTGGGCTGGGCGCAAGCTCGGATCTGCAATGGAGGCTGCATAATATACAATACAACATGTACATTTATTCATTGTTTTACTGTAGTCCTGTTTTATACCTCTGCCCCCCAAATGTATGAAGCCCATTATTCAGTTATTACATAACAGGGAAAGTATTGTAAATTAAAGCTTCAGTGCAAAAATTATTTGAACATTGTGAGCCTGACTCAAACCCACCCACCTCAGTCACATTGAGTTCAGTGGGGAAGTATGCTTAAACAACTCTAAATGCAATTAAAAGTTATTAGTTTTGACTGGGTAGAACTCTCATTTTGCAGTGCTTTGTGTGTGTGTGTGTGTGTGTGTGTGTGTTTTAATGTCTCAATTTGCTTCCAACTTAGGTGACCCTATGAATTAATGTCATTTCACACCTTGCTCAGGTCTTGCAAACTGAGGGCTGTGGCTTCTGTTTTTGAGTTGATTCATCTCATGTTGGGTCTTCCTCTTTTCTTGCTGACTTCAACTTTTCCTAGCATTATTGTCTTTTCCAGTAAATCTTGTCTTCTCATGATGTGACCAAAGTATGATAGCCTCGTGTGACGAACTGCACTTTAAAATCTTATAAGTGCTAGAAGGGTTGGCAGAAGGTGAAGACTCCCATTCAGGCCAGAAAAAGGGATAGATCTTCTAGTAAAAGTAGAATTTCCCAACCCAGCTCTAAAGAGTGGAGAGATCCTTGGGCAGGTGTGTTTAGAAACTGCCTTTTAAATCTGGTGGAGTTAAATCCTTTGCAGATGCACTAGTTGACTGTAAAAGCAGAACTTGAGTCCAGGCCTTAAATGTTTTTAATTTTCTATACCACATCTTACGCTAAGATTTAAAATCTGTTGTTTGTCTGAGCTAGGAAATGTGGGGCAAGAGTTTGGAATGCAAAGTTCTCCTTTATCATAAAGTAAATGTGCACTATCTAAGATTTAAAATCTGTTTTTTGTCTGAGCTAGGAAATGTGGAATGCAAAAGTCTCCTTTATCATAAAGTAAATGTGCACTAGATTCAGGTGTTGCTCAAAAGCAGCAGAACAAAGTTTGAGTCAAGTGGCACTTTTGAGACCAACGAAGATTTATTGCAAGTGTAATCTTTCATGTGCAAAATGCACTTCTTCAGACAGTTTTTCAGTGTGTTTTGCACACAAAAGCTTACACTTCGAATAAAACTTTGTTGGTCTCAAAGGTGCCACTTGACTCAAACTTTGTTCTAAATGTGCACTAGTTTCCTAGGGAATTTGGAAGGCAGGTAATTTCCAAAGTTCTATAGTCATGCTTTTGCAGACTATATTCTTCATGACTAGGATGCTCTTTTGATGACGATGGCTTTAATGCTGTAATTCTTCATTTTTATGTGTTTTTGTAATGAATGGCATTTTATGATGTTAAAGTAATATCCCCAAGGATCCGTCATCCCTGTCTGTACAAATGACTTCTTCTGTGCCTATTTCTTTACTCATCAATTGGATAAATGTTATTCCAAGTGAAGCTTTGTTGATGATAGCATGTAATTATTAGCTTATTTCACATGCAGTAGTTGCTTTGATAGCATTTAGAATTCATTTTGTACTCACTCTCCTAGACCTGTCTTCATTCTTCTCATGGGGAAGAGTGGAAGATCAGTTCAGTTTTAAATTACTCCATGTGATGGAGCCCCAAGCATTTGTGGATATTGGATAATATGCTAGGCATCACAGGTGATCTGCAAAAATCACCTGCTCACTCTTGTGACAGCAGAGGAAGTTCTGTAAATAGATGAGAAGCTTGTCCAAAAGTGATAGAGAGGGCATTTTTAGTCAATATTTATGCATGGCATATTGCTCTGGAGAGTCCCTTAGCAGTGGTTTTTCAGGGGTGCAGGGAGCTGCTGGGGAAATATGGTAAAAACCTTAGTTCAAAAAATGGGCCCTATCCTTGAGAAGGCTGAGCAGTGCATATATGCAGTGTAAATTTTGAGGAATATTTACAGATTAATTTATCACTCAGCTATCTGATTTTTTTGAAAGTGCACCTTGGATTGCTCTCTAGAGTGTAGTTTAGAGGCGATCTAAGTACAATCTGAGCTAGAGAATGTGGCTAGCCCAAAGAACAGTCTGTGCTGTGCTGGATTCTGTTACATTCTCCTAAAATATTAAAGTGTACTGGTTAGTTTATCTGGGAGGTACTTTAAGAAACAATTTAGCTGTACACCTCATTGCCGATTTTGTTGTATTAGACAGTCTAAATATTGGCTCGTTACTTCAGATCAGTTTAGCCTCATCATTGTCACCTACTGCTTCTTTGTCCTCATTTGCTCCTTTAGGTTGCAATACTGCAGTGACGATCAAAGCCAGAGTTGACCGAAATTTTCTGTTGCTCTAGAGATATTGATCTTGTGCTCTTTGCTCTCGCTTGTACTTTTCTGCCTTTAGTATACAGCCCCAATCCTATTTTCCCATTTCGTTCTTGTCTTTGGCATCTTCTTTCTTGTTTCCTGTCTTCATCATCTTCTTTCTTTAGCTCCATCTCTCCCACTAGCCATTGTTCCACTGCCTTTCTTTAGTCCAGTGGTACTCACTCCCCATATCTCAGAGAACCACAATGGGAATTCCCATCAACGAAAAAAGCCACGTGACTAGCATGCCCTACACACCACCTCAGACAAACAGTGTACAACTATAATACAGTATAGTATAACAACTATAATTCAACCCTTTTTGATTATTAGAGCTTTGTAGAGTTCTCTCTCCCCATTACTGTTGAACCTTTGCCAGCCCTTGTGTCTCAGATACGGCTCTGTTTGGAGGAGGTGCAACAGTTAAGAGTCAGGATACCTGGGTTAGCCTATGCCCTGTATCTGATGAAAGCCTTTTTCTGCCCAAAGGAGATATTGTCAATCTGAACATAATTACCTGTATCTGATGAAAGCCTTTTTCCGCCCAAAGGAGATATTGTCAATCTGAACATATTATCTGACAGGAAAAAATAATAAGATCTCGGCTGTATTTATCTTTTCTAAAAATATTTAGGTTTATTGAATGCAGGGAAAGGAGGATTTACATGCATAGCTTGGGGATGGAAAAACAAGTATTCATTTCAGTCTCCCTTCTGTAGGGGAAAAAAATCATAATACAGCAACATTGTATTTCTTTAAGATGTTGTACTAAAAATGCAGTCCCAATTAAGTTTTGTCTTATGGGTTAGCATTCAATAGTGGCATGTCCCACCCTGACCTGGATAGCCCAGGCAAGCCCGATCTCGTCAGAT